ATATATAATATATATATATATATATATGGCTTACGACTTCATTAACGAAGACATTTGGTTTGTTGGGGTCCGTAAGATCTGTTTGTTGCTGGAGAGGTTCGAAGTATCCACTGATGCGAGCAAATTGCCCTGCGCCTCCTGTCTGCTTCTTGTGGGTAAAATCAAAGAGAGCGCGCTGTGTTGGCGACTCGCGATAGTTCACAGCAGGTCGCCCTGCAGCCACCTCTAGGCCATACTCGCGGCGCATGCGCTGCAGGTAGATATCAAGATGCAGCTCCCCCATACCGGATATTATGGTCTCTTGCGATTCTTTGTCCTGTGCTACTCTGTAAAACATTATACACCCATAGTACACAGACACACAGACACACAGACACACATACACACAGACACACAGACACACACACACACACACACACACACACACACACACACACACACACACACACACACACACAGTAAACAAATATATCCACTGATAATTACCCCGAACCCTAAACCCCAAACGCTAAACAGCCTACAACAAAACCTCCTACACCCCGAATGGAAACGACACACTCCAGCATTACACACCACATGCAACCGGTCAACACGGGGAGGTTTACGGTCTAGGGTTCTGAAGATTTTCAAGGTACGTAGGTATGTATATGTATATGTATATGTATATGTATATGTATATGTATATGTATATGTATATGTATATGCATATGTGTTTGTATATGTATGTATGTATATGTATGCGTATGCATGTATGTGCGTATGTATACGGGGGTTCTCTCCGACGTTTAAACGGTCTACCCTTTACAACTAAGGCGTGGTCTATTGTTAATACTTTAATGGGGGCTGACTGATCTGTCCTAAGGGCTGAAGAGGAGGGAATTTACCTAAAAGTGGGATCTTCGCGCTGAAATCTGTTAAGAGCCTTTGAGAACTTGCTTTGATGGTCCTTTTTCTGAACTCGGACCGCTAAAGAGACCACTGGTTCAGCCACATGCATGGAGTTGAGGGCCAGCTGCGTACGGCCGTCTGTCAATGTTACCCCTGAATGGCAGAACAGCCCCCCAGCCGCTACTATGTCTCCTGCTGTTGCTTGCTGCACCTCCCGTGCCTCGTCTGCATGCATGCGCAGCAGCCGTTTCACTTGTTGCTTCTTCCCGCTGCTCAAATCCACAACCGAATCTCCTTTACGCAACGACCCCTGGTATAAACGGAGATACGTCAGCTGCCCGACGGGCAATTCCTGCAAACAAAGCACCAAGCCCTAAACCCTAAACCCTAAAAACCCGCTGCACAATACACACCACGGAATAGCTCAGGCAGACCACTCGAGGCTCAGTCTCTACAATTTGGGGAGAAATAAAAACTTAGCGAGAATAATAAACGAGGGAGGTTTAACGGTTTAGGGTCTACAATCAATTGCGGTGTGCATTCAGTGGTTACCGAGTTGGCATAAAACTAGGGTCAAGCGTTTACGCTTTCGGGCTCTAAATAAGGATCTCAGCCTTGCGACAAGGATTAAAAGCATGAGCTTGCGAGGAATTCGTACAACTCAGGTCACCAAGGTACAGAGTTTAGAGTTAGCGTTTAGTCCTAAGGCGTGCAAAAGCGTTTGGAATTAGGACGTCGGCTTGAGATGTGCACAACTGGAGCAATGAGTGTTTACTTGTATCTTGAATGCCATCGCCACAAGCGGTTTCTTTGGGTCACAAGAGAGCTCAACTTCCTCCTCTCCCCTCTCCAAATCTTTCGCCACTTGAAGCCGGTCATCTGCAAACCCTAACCCCCAAACCCTAAACCCTCTATGCACCCGCTGATGTTCGCCTTATATACCTGCGTGAGTATTTGTCCTGTTCGTAGGCCTCGAAAAGCTACTTGGTCGGGGCCTGTTGTGCGATGGAGTCAAATACACCCTTTGGCAACATCAGTTCACGAGGGTTTACGGGGATTTGAGCTAACTTACGCGGTGCTGGCAGGTAGCGGCAAACAGCGTCAAGGAGAGGCTGCACGCCTTTATTGCCTTTTGCAGACCCCATTAGGAGAGGGACGAATGCGTGTTTAAGGGTTTGCCTTCGAATGGCCTGGTGGAGGTCTGCAGGCTGCACATTGTCGCCGAGCTCTATGTACACCTCAGCCAAGGCCTCGTCCTTCTCCGCGAGAGCCTCTATCAACTCACTGCGCCTCTGCCTCGCCTCCTGCAGCAGTGGTGAAGGAATATCCAACGTCCTCTCCACCTGCTGGCCCTTCTCTCCTCGAAAATAAACTGCCTCAAATGTTACCAAGTCCACAACCCCTTGATGTTTCCCCTCCGTGCCTATCGGGACCTGCGAAAAATCCTGAATCCTAAACCCTAAACCATATCGCTACAGGAAACGTCAACCCTAAACTCAAAATACCGAAGCCTGGAGCTTAAAAAACCCCAACGCCCAGTCAGTACGTTTGCCGTCCACTGTACGGTGTATCCCTAGGGTTTAGGGTTCACGGTTTACTTGGAGAGGAAAAGCATTGATGCCGAGTTGCTTGCGAATACCAACCAGCGCCCTCCACGGATCGGCTCCATCACGATCCAATTTATTCACGAATATCAAACGAGGCACCCCGTACCTGCAGCCCAACCCCAAACCTTAAACCCTCAACCCTGAACTGCTCATGCTGCTGCCGTGAATTTTCGCATCTCCCACGGAGGCCCAGCCCTCATTTGTTTTGCAGGTTGCTCGGTCCCTTCGATCCACAGCTTGAGGGTTTAGTGCTTACCTTCGCATTTGCCTGTCCACCGTTAGGGTTTGGCTCTGCACGCCGGCAACCCCGCAAACCACTAGAACTGCACCATCTAGCACTCGCAGCGCTCTCTCCACTTCGACAGTAAAGTCTACATGGCCAGGGGTGTCGATTAAATTCACCGTGTAGGAACCCCTCAGGCCCACCCCAAGGGGCTCCCCAGAGGGCGCCCCAGAGGGCTCATCGGGAAGTTCCCACGAGCAGTAACTCGCGGCCGACTGAATCGTTATCCCTGCACAAAAACACTAAACCGTAAACCCTCAATCCTCGTAACACGACGAGACTCTATCCCGAAAAGGCTGGCAAGGCTGGCTGGCAACGCACGGGCTCCACAATAAACATGGGCTAGGGCTTAGAATTTACGGTTTATTGCCGGAATAGAATAGAGTTTAGAGAAAGGCGTAGGTTGATTGTGTGGGGATTAGTGTTGAGATTGCGTTCTTCGGTGGGGCCCTGGGGGCTCTTATTGGGGTTTGGAGTTTAACAAAGACATAAAAAGCTGCAAGCCAAGACTTCACTTCTTATTTTATCTCTAGAGATTGGGGTTTATGGTTAAGGACGTGGCAATTAGGGTTTAGGGTTTCGGGTCGTTAAAAGGGTTTGCCGAACCTTTTTCTCTTTCGAGTTCCATCGAGTCCATCTTCGCCCCAACTCCGTCGGAACCCCTCACCTCGTGGATCTCCGCAATACGCCCTACACACAACCCTAATTCCTAAACCATAAGCCTTAAACCTCGAGACCGCCTCTGCATGCGCCGGTGCAACACTGTGGTCCCTTGTCGACGTCGCAGAATCTGCAAGTCGGGTGCAGCAAAATCTCAAGCTTCAACTCTCTGCTGCTCCTTGTGTCCTTGCTGACCACAACCCCCCAACCCTAAATCCTAAACCATAAACACCAAATACTTTGGCCTCACCCGTGTAGAAAAGAATACGTTCAGTGAGGGTTGTTTTTCCGCTATCTATGTGTGCACTGATCCCAATGTTTCGTATGCGGCTCCTCCCTGCTTCACAAGGGGCCCCCTGGGGGAGCCCAGAAGATGACGAGAAGAAGCGGGGTTTGAAGCATCCCATATCAAGTTTTGGGGCAGCAGAAGCAGTTGCTGCAGCAGCGGCTGCTGCCGGGGGTGCTCCTTGTAGAGAGGTACCATAAGCAGATGAAGCCACACAGCGCCCCTTTAATCTTTCCAAGGGGAGAAGCCCCTGGGGTTGAGGCCACCCCCTTAAAACCTTAGGGAGCAAGGAGCTCATTGGGGGCCCCCTTGTGGAGCAGATAATCCACAGGTTCATCCTGAGGGAATACGGTTTACGAAGTCGACATAGGGCTTAGGGTTTATAGTATACCGTTTGGGGTTTTTGGCGGCTTTCCCGAGAGCCGCCATCTAACGTGTCAAACGCGTAATCTCGATCCTAAACCTAAACCGTACACCTGATCGAGCGCAGCAAACCGACTGTTGAGTGTATGAGTAAATTTCGTTGTTTTTGCCGCTAAATTTCTCGTTAAGTAGAAGAAATGAGAAAAAGAAGATCAAAGAGCATCCAACTGCTGCTGCGATGCGCGTCATGTCTTGCAGGGGGCCCCCCGAAGCCGACGACGACCTCGGGGGCCCCACATAGGGACCCCCGCGGGACCAAGCCAAGAACAGTGCCCCGGCAATGCTTTCGTTTGCTGCTGATTTGCGATATGAATTCCCACTGTTTTCATTTGAGGAGGGGAGGTAGCTTTTTCATTCTGTGGGACTTAGGCTGATGGGTTAGTTTTCATGGGCTTAGGCCCCGTTCCTTCTCTTCACGGCCTCTAGGGTACTCCACTCTGACATTTATGTCTTTCTATCTGCAACGGCCGTTCTTTTATTGAGCTCGCATGGGCCAACTCATTGAGGGCCTCTCAAAGTTGGGCCTCCCCTGTCGGGCCCCTCTACTCCTTTGTTCCAAGGGAGCCTCTCTAAAAGGGCTTGAGAGTTCGTGCAGCGTTTGCAGCCTCTACTATTCCCTGCAGGCATTCGGGGCCTCAATACTGCCTTGAGAGGACTCTGCCGCTACTACTACTGCAACAGCGACTACTACTACTGCTGCTGCTGCCCCTGCTGCTGTTTCTGCGCTCACAATGGCGGACGTGTACCGACAGGCTGCAGCTGTGCTGCAGCAGATGGACTCGAAGCAAATTGGCCTGAGAGCGGCCCTCTATGATGCCGCCAGGCCCCCACCTAAGGCACTAGCGAGGGTATGATCCTACCGCTTATCTGCTGCTGCTGTTGCTGCTGCATCTCATGCTGTTCCTTTTGCTGATGTTCAGGTTGCCCATGCTTCTACTGCGGCTGCTGCATGTGTTCCTGTCCCTGCTGCTGCTGCTGCAGTTCCACCGGCCTCTACTGCTGCTCCTGGTGTTGGTGTTCCTGCGGCAAGCGTTGCTGCTTCTGCTGCTTCTGCTTCTGCTTCTGTTGCTCAGGTGTACGCGCTTCTCTCGAAGACGCTAGCAATGCGACCACTGCTGCAGCAGCTGCTGGATCAGGTAGGCCTCACGACGGCGCCCACGGGGCCTCAAGCAGCAAGCACTGCAACGACGGCAGCAAAAGCAGCAACAATGCGAGACTATCTGCTGCTGCTGATGCTCCGCGATTTGCTCCTGTCTCCTAAGGGAGTTGAAGGAGGGGGGCAGCTGCGGCGGGAGTTGCTGGCTCGCGAGGCGCAGCTGCGGTCTCTCTTCAGTGCAACAACAACTGAGGCAGCACCCGAAGCAGCAGCAGTAGCAGCGATTCCGAGATACCTGCGAGTGAACCGACGCCTATGGGACGCAACAGCAGCAGCGAAATTCCTTAGAGACAATTTTCCCTGCATTGCATGGGCCCTTTTAGATCCTCTGCTACCTTGTGTCGTTGCAGTTCCTGCAGCTACAGCACGGCTATTACAGCAGCAACCTCAGCACCAAAACCAGCAGAAAAAGGAGCCGTGGCAACACCAGCAGGAAAAGTCGGATGCTGCGGGAAAGGTCGGCAGGGAAGAGCTTCCGGAGCAACAGCAACAAGAGGAGGAGCAGCAACAACAACAACAGCAGCAACAACAGCAATCACTGCTTCTGCATGAACTGGTGCCAAGAGGCTTTGTCTCTCTTCAAGATCGAGCCAGTTGCACTGCTGCCGCTGCGGCTGCAGTAGCAGAAGGAGACATTGTCCTTGAAGCCTGTGCTGCACCAGGCAGCAAAACATTACATATAATCGGTACAGCAGCTGCTGCAATGTGCTTCTGCTGCTGTTGCGTTTGCTTTTTCTGCTGTAGCTGCTGCTGCTCCATTCCCTGCTGTTATATGGTGCATTCGCTTGTGGGGTATCTGGATGATGTATTTTCATTGGTGCGTCTTGGGGTGTTTTCACACCTGCCGAGATATTGGAGCATCTGTGCAGCTTTGCCAACAAATTATTTTCCCTTATTAGCTGCCTTGGGAGCTGAGGTGTTAGCGTCAGCTGTGGCTGTGCCTGGGGATGGACTGCCCATCCCCAGGCAGTCTTGCTGCTGCTGCTGCTGCTGTTTATGGATAGTTGTTAGGAGCAACAACAGCAGCAGTTATGGCTGCTGCTGCTGCTATTGATACAATGTTGGAAGCTGTTGTGGCTGTGTCAATTGTGTTATTGTTGCTGCTGCAGTGCTTAGTAGTTGCGGAAGTATGGCTTCTGCTATATATCTACCGCTGATAGCCCATCCCCAGGCAGTCTTGCTGCTGCTGCTGCTGCTGTTTTTGCTGCTGCTTCAGATATGCTGGGCAAAAGGGGCCATTTGATCGCTCTTGAGAGAGACGCAAAGAGACTTGCTGCAATGCTGCGAAGACTGCAGCAGGAAGCTGCGCTGCGGGGGCCTTACCTGTCTCCTTGCTGCACCCACCAGTACGCAGCTTGCACCAGCAGCAGCAGTAGCAACAGCAGCGACATGGACGAGTTCCTGAGGCTTGCTGAGCTGGCAAGCAAACAGCCTCTCTATTTCGCTCGATCTGATGAGCCGTGTCGTTCAACAGAAGCAGCAACAGCCACCCCACTAACCACAGCAACAGAATCAGCAGCAGGAATTGCACCTGCTGCAGCAAGTTATAATGAGTTAGCGGCATCTTTGCCGCTGCTGCTGGTGGAGGTGCGACGGGCCGATTTTGCTGCTGTCCGCGGTAACGTCCCTCCGTTCTGCTTGGCACAGAAAATCCTATTAGACCCCTCCTGCTCAGGTAGCGGCCTCCCGACGCATGCAACAGCAAAAACAGCAGTAGCAATAGCATCAGCAGCAACACCAGGAGCAACAGAGGTGGCTGCTCCAGCTGCTGTTGCTGTTCCAGAAGCAACTAAAGCTGCACCCAAATCTGCTTCAGGAGCTCCTGCAGCTGTTTATTCTGCTGCTGAAGACCCTCCGGACCTTCTGCACTGGAGTTGGGAAGGCTGGAAGGCTTGGAGTGGGGGTTCTAGCCCGTCGTTGAGTCATGTGGATGTGGCAACTATGCTTACAGCCGATTGTCCCCCCCAAGGGGCCTCGATCCCTTCTGTGTTACCGCCAGCACAGGACGAGGTTAGGGTTGCACGTCTTGCTGCAGTGCAGCAGAAGCTGTTATTGCATGCGTTATCTGCTTTCCCCGCGGTCAGCCTCGTCTGCTATTCAACATGCTCGGTGTATGTACACGAAAATGAAGCCGTGCTGCTCAGTGTGGGGCTGCACCAGCAGCAGCGGCAAGAGGCCGTTAAGGACTGGCGAGTGTCTCGTCCCCCTCTCCACCCAGGATGGTTTCCTCCGTCTGCCGCGGTTGCACAAATGCAGCTGCAACTGAAAAACATCGCCAACAGTTGCAGCAGCAGCAGAAGCGGTTGTAGCAGCAGCAGCAGGGGTTGCAGCAGGCTGAAGGATGCGTTAGAAGCCTTCAGTTCGCTCTGCGTACGGGCCTCACCCCACACCCATAGGTGCAGGGGGTTCTTCCTTGCTACAATCTGCAGATCTGTGACCCCAGCAGCAGGTGGAGACGGAGCAGCCGAAAATAAGACAGCCCAAGTAGCAGCAAGGGAAAGAGGTGGCAGTGGCAAGAAAAAGAGACTACAAAAGGCAGATAAACACCCACTGAACAGTGGCGCATCAATGCCTAGTACCAAACCCCGTAAGAGGCCCAAAATACGCAGCTGCAGCAAAGTGGGCATCAGGGTTTAGGGCTTTGCGTTGGTAATAGAGCTTCGGGTTTCCTAAAGGAACCCCCAGGAAGATGAAGCACGGCATCTTCCCTAGAGCCTTAATTGGCTTTCTCCCAGAGGGGCCCTTGGGCTCCAACGGCGAGCTCCCTCCTCTTTGGCTCCTCTTCGATACGTCCACGGAGCGCTCTCCTGGCAATTTTTGCTGTCTGTAGGAACACAGGAACCGATTTTCTCAGTCTAGTTGTTTCCCTTTTCAGAGCAGTGTTGTGGCAGCGTAATTGCACTGGAGGGGGCGTTCGAGGGAGTGCCGGTCGAGCTGCGGTAGAGTTTAGGGTCCAGTTATTGGGGTTTACATTTCAGGGTTAAGTGTTGAGGGTTTTGACACAGCGTTAGGTTCCAGCAGTAGGACGGCGACAGTTTGTTCCAATGCAAACACCATTACGACAGGCTCGGTGATTCTTCCTCGTTTTGTCATCATATACTTCAAAGTGTCTTCTATTGTAACTAGTTGATTTATGTCTGTTACACTTTGCTGCTATCGTTGCACATGTTCTCCGTGTTTCCTTGCCGTTTTCGCAGTTTCCCCTCGTTAGGTACACATTCTGTGTAATTCCCCTCCTTCTACTTACATTGTGTGTCTTTCTACACTTTTCACCAATACACTGTGTATTTTTGTTTTTACGTTTCCATTTTAGTGGATTTACCCCCGATTTGTTGTGAGTTCCATTCCAGAAACTGGCCGTATGCTGCCTGGTCTGCCCAGCGGCCCCTAGTGCTGCCTCCTTTGCTGCATTCATTGCTCTCTTTCCCTCTTACTCCCCCTTTACGTAGGCCGCTAAATGCTTGAATCCTTGTTAAAGCTTTATTTTCAAGTGTAAACTTCCGGCGAGCTCACGCTTTGTGCAATTGTTGCCCTTCTATACTTTCTCTGTTACGGGGGCCCCAGGGGGGCCCCCAGCTCAGCCATACCACTTCACCTCTTGAATTAACCCTGTCGCCTATTTATGGATGGAATTTCGGTTGAAGGGGTTGGCCCCTGGGGGCCGCCCGAGAGTACCCCCAAGCCGCCATCTGGTGATACACCTGAAACGGCAGCGCGTCTCGGGAACGAGTTGCCCCTTGTAGAGGAGCCTACTGGTTTCGCCAGGACCTCCCCAGGGGCCTCCCTAGAGGCGCTTCCAGGGCTAGCTCTAGGGTCGCCCTTACGGGCTCCCCCAGCTGCGCGCAAGGTGTGCGTGTTGGTGTCTTCGGAAATGCATTTTTGCAGCACGAGCCAGGAGGGGGAGAAGGAATTTGTTGCCGAAGCTGGTGTTTCGTTGGCCTCCATTTTAGCTATGCACAGGGCCTCAAGGAGCTGTGGATACACCTTGGAGTTTGTGACGCCTTCGGGGTCCCCTCCGCCTGTGGCTTCCTTTGGACACCTCGAGGAGGTGGGGTTGTTGTTGGAAAAGCATAAGGAGGAGGACGCTGAGTTGCTAATGCAGCAGCTGCAGCACCCGCAGCAGCTACGCAAGGCAGCGGCAGCCGACTATTGCTGCTTGCTGCTGCCGCATCATCTGGGAGCAGCAATCGACCTCTACAGCAGCGCCAGCACGGGGGCCCTCATTAAAGACTTTGGGGCGTTGAAAAAGCCCGTGGGGGTACTGGGATACGGCGGATTCGCCCTATGCGCCAAACCTCTGGCAGGTAAAGACAAGGGTTTTGGGTGTAGGGTTTAGGATAAGAGTGGATGAATTGGGGTTTAGGGTTCCTGGCTCCCACCGGCCTGCCTCTCCTGTTCCAACCCAAGCCATAAGGTCTAAACCCCAATTGTGAAGTTAAGCTTTTGCTGCAGGGTCTGAGGCATTTCCGTTGGCCGGCCGTCTCATATCTACTGTCCCCCTCGCTGAGGAGGCACGGTGAGCTGCAGCTGCGTTTGCTGGTGTAGCTGCTGCTGTTATTGGCGCTGCAGTTGTGAAGAGTACTTGGGTGTTCAGCGGCGTTTGGGGCTTTCTGCGCATGGATTTTCTGTGTCTGCACGCTGCTCTGCGGCAGCAAAACTAGCATGTGCCTGCGGCGTCAACTGTTTTTCATTCGGCCCCATATGCATGCATGCATGCATTTGTCTGGGGTGTTTGTTAACACCAAGGGGAGTCTGCAGGAGGTGCCTGTTGGTATTCTTCTGCATATGAACATCTAGCTTGTTCCTGTTCTGCCCGCGGTATGGAGCTGCCTCGTATACACCTGAGCGGGCCCGGATGTCTGGGCACTTCTCCACGGCAGTGGTATATGCTTGCTTCGGAGACTGTGCTCTTCTGTTGCTGTTGGCGCGTTTGTGCGTAAACGCATTTTTTCTGTCATTTGCGTGCGTGCTCTGCGGTGTACAGACACCCCTACTTCGGGCTGCTGCCGCTGCACCTCGAGCTGCACTTTGCCTCCGAAGGGGCCCGCACAGCAGCAGGCCTTTCTGAGACAGGGGGCCTCGTCGTCGACGGTAACCTCGTCTCTGCGAGCAGTGAAACCTCCACGGAACTCCTTTTCAGGGTCCTCGTCATGCTAGCCTCCAGGCAACAGGATCAGCAGCAGTAGTAGTAGTACTAGTAGTAGTAGTACTACTAGAGCTAGTACTAGTAGCAGACGGCACAACAGGAGCAAGACCGGCAGCATCATGGAGCGCCAGCAGTTGTAGGCATAACAGCATCACCACACGAAGCAGCAGATGCAGCAGCAGGTTGAGGTCCCGCAGCAAACGCTAGACACTGCAGCAGCTGCAGCAGGAGCTGCAACAGCAACAACACCATACCTTTGCGAAGACCACCGATAGAACTTTCTGTCCTTTTGCGCACTGCCTCTATGCACTTTATGTACATACTCTGTATCCACCAAACTCTACGACTTTTATCTGTTGCTGCACGTGCCTGTGCTAGCAAGCTGCTGCATCTGAGGCTAAGGGGTTGCAGCACACTAACCCAGAACCCACACAAGTGTAATCTTCATAGATGAGGGTCTTAGCACCTCATTACAGCACCTCCGGAGTGATCCTAAAGTTCGGCGTCAGCTCACCGTCTTGCGGGGCTTTGGATATCGTGTAGGGCTTAGTGCTAGTATTGTCTAACGCTCCCGTTGTATGTTTTTGGCGCCTCTTGCGTCCTTGTCTGTCTCGCACTGCATTTGTTTCTATCGCTCTTTGCATGCCTCTTTTGTCTGTTTCTAGCTTGCTGAATCTTTGCGAGACCTCTTGTCTTCTATTGTCTCTCCCTGCTTCTCTGTCTGCGTCTCTATCCCCAATGTCTCTGCACTTCTTTCGTTAAGACAGTTTGCGGTACACACTAGTAGCAGCAGTAGCGGCCGCTGCTGCTGCTGGGAATTTATCGGGAGGATAATTTTTCCAAGCAGGCCCGCAGCACTGGCAGCAGAAGCAGCAGCATGCGCCTTTGGAACAGCAAACAAACAGAAGAAGCAGCTGCCACCAGCTGCCCGTGATAGCTGGCTTGGTTGCTGCTGCTGCTGTTGTTGCTTCTGGTGCATGAACAATGCTTGCTGCTGCCCATGCGCTGTGTGCTGCTCGCTTGCTGCATCAGAAGCAGCAATTGCCCTCTGCTTCATCATCTGGTAGCACTGCTGTTGCTAGGGCTGCTGCTGCTGAGTCGATTGTCTCTGAACGCAACAGCCCTTGCAGCTGCAGGGGATGGTGCTGCTTCTGCTGCAGCAGCAGCAGCTGATGCTGCTGCTGCAACTGCTTCTTTCCCTTTCGGCTGTACTGCATGCATTCACAATTAGACACTGAGCCCCCAGAAGAGCTTCTGAAGTCTGTCTCGAATGCACTGCTCGGGGTAGAAGAACTTCCCTTCTTGCCGGGAGTCTGATAGGCCGTCTCCTACCTCCTCTGCTGCAGCAATCAAAGCTGCTGCTGCAGCTCGCTGAGCAACAACAGCAGCACCTTCTTTTGCTGCCCGTACGCGGGCAGTTCCGCCCCGATGCAACGCAGCAGCGGCAGCACATGCTGCTGCGCGCGCTGATGCTACCGTCTCCTGATTCTGCTGCTGGCTGCTGCTCGTGCTGCTCCCTCGTTGGGGCTCCCAAGCCCCAGATGTCGTGTAGCCGCCTCCTCCGGCTGCAGCAGAAGCAGGAGAGGCAGTAGCAGCAGCAGTAGTAGTTGACGAGGCAGCACCAGCGGAGCGCTGCAAGCACCCTGGCTGCAATAGGGAGGGACGGCGAGAAGCGCGGGGGGCTTGAACTTGCTCAATAACATCTGTGGCCGTCTCTCTTGGCCCTAGTGTTTCTCTCGTATTTGCTGCTCCCCAGAGGCTGCTGCTACTGCCACTGCTTTTGCCGCTTAATTTTTCGGGGCGTCTCATGCTGAAAACGCGATGAAGTTGAGGAGACACATCTGCAGCAGCAGCAGAACTAGTACGGGAGTGCCACAGTTGTTGCTGCGGCTGCTGCTGCCTGTGTAGAAGCTCAACACACGTCCAGCTTGGATGGAGATAGGGTACGGAAATCCAAACGTCCGTTGCTGCAGCAGATGAAGTGGTAGGCCGCGCCTCGGCGCGTCCCTCGGCGCGCCCGGAGGCTGCTACTGCTGCAGGGGCGCCGCCGCCTCTCGCAGCAGCAAGAGCCAATCCGTATCCCGATTCTGCTGCCGCCCTTTGGTCTTGAGAAGAAAAATTCAGACTGCGAGAGGGCTGCAGCTGCAGCTGTTGCTGCAGTGTCGCTACTTGTTGCCGCTTGCTGCGCCAGCCGGAGCGCGCAGTGTCTGTACACCTGCAGACTGCAGCAGCTGCTGTTGCCTTGCTGCTGTCCCCTTGTGGGCTGTAATCATCGCTCCTCACCAACCTTCCAGTGCCTAAAGAGAAAGCATCAACCGGGCTCTGGCCTGCAGTAGCAGCAGTCGTGCGACGAGGTGAGAAAAGCGGGAGGCGATAAGACGCGTGCGCTGCTTGCTTCGCTGCTGAGCGGACCAGGTGCACCGACGGTGAGGCTCCTGTGTCTCCCCAAAGTCTGCTACCGCTGCTGCTGCTACTACTGCTGCTGATGCGCCGCTTCTGCCACGCCGACAGCACCGCGAGACTTTGGGCCTGCCCCGCCTCCCGAGGCACCCTGCTGAGGGGACTTTCTTTGATGCTGTTTCCCCTTAGCCAGGCGGCGATGTTATTGGTGCTGCTGGAGCTGCTGTTGCTGCTTAAGAACTTGGGGTTTTGGAACCGACTCCAGGAGTGCCCATCGCGTAGAGGCACAGACGCCGCCGCCGCAGCTGCTGCTGCTGGTGAGGGAAACGAAGAGCTAGGAGTTTTGTGCTGGAGCACTGGGCTCTTGTAAAGGGTCAAAAGCCTCGTATGCACACGCTGAAGCACCTGCTTTTTGTTTTGCAGCAGATGCTGCTGCTGCTGTGTGAACGTCGTTGTCTCACGAACCGTCTCCAGACCTGCATACGCAAGCAGCACCATTGTGGAGCAACAGCAACACCAGGGAATAGTGCATCAGACAAGCTCACAGAACAGCAGCAAAAAGAAGCGTCCGCACCAGTAGCAGCAGCCGCAGCGGCACAAACAACATCAGGGAAGCAATACCGATTTGGCCAGCAGCAGGTAGGGCCACGCGATCTTGACCGGGTTCAATTGACAGTTTCACAAGTGTCCGTACAGCTCGTTTGCCGTTGGTGCTGCCGCTGCTGAGACGCAGCTGCTGCTGCTGCGAACCTCCGCTTTCGCTTCGTATCCTCCATTTCCCGCTGCTCACATTGTCCGCCGGAACTACAGGTCTGTTGCTGCTGTTGCTACTCCTGTTGCTGCTGTTACTGATGCTACTTTGCACCGAGATTCCTGGAGTTCCTGGCGTTGCAGTGGCAGCAACTACAGCAGTCGCTGGCGGGGCAGGAGCAACGAGTGTCTTTGCTGCTGCTACTCGTGGGGTGCGCCTCCAGAGGCAGCAGTGCAGCATTTTGGGAACCTTTCTGGGTTGTCTTTCTTGCAGCTCAGATGGCTCAGCACCTTTCTGCGCCAACATTGTATCTTCTACGGGGCGGGGGATATCCCATACTGTGCTGCTACTGCTGGTGCTGCCGCTGCTTGTGTTGCTGCTGGTGCGGCGACGCCGCCGTCTGCGGCTAAGGGAAGGGAGACTTTCCAGCAGCTCCCTGTAGGTACGGGAAGGCTCCAGATCTGACCACGCAGTGGCAGCAACCGCAGCAGCATCCCCAACACAATTTGCTGTTTCCCCTCTTCTCCCAATGAAAAAGCCTGTAGAACGGCAGCGCCGCAGACCACGGCTTGCCACCTGCGTCCTCATCGCCTGCTTCTGCTGTTGCTCCTCCGGCTGCTGATGCAAGCTGCTCTCTGTCACCGAATTTAGATGTTCGCTAGCGATTTGTTGAAGCCTTCTTTGCACGTTGAAAAAGCAAGTGCCAATCCCATGGAAGAAGCCTCTCTTGCGTCTTGCTGTTGTTCCTGTTGCTCTGCGCTTGTTGTTGTTGTTGCTGCTGCTGCTGTTCGAAGCTGCGTATGGAGGAGAAGCAGCCCCACTGTGCAGTCTGGGTCGCTGCTGCTTGCCTTTTAGGGGCTTTTTACTGCTCCTGCACGTCTCCCCTACTGCATATCCATGGGGCGTATGCTGCTGCTGCTGCGGAGAAAGCCGTAGCCGTTTTGACTTTGAAGCAGCGGGCAGAGACTCTTTTTCCCCCGGATTCACTTCGGGTGCTGCTTCTTCCGTTGCCACAGTTTCTCCTGGGGTCGTGCCTCTTGCTGGGGATTCTGGTTGGACTTCTGCTCTCGATCCAGTGTAAGCACAGCAGCCGCAGCAGTCTGATGCCTCCAGACGCAACAAGTAGGGCAGCACGGTTGTTGAAAAGACGCACCTGCTGGAGTGTTCCTCTGTTCTGAAGAGTAGCAGCCGCAGCATCAGAAAGGGACTGGAAACCATTAGCAATCTGCTTAGAGCATTGGGACTGGCTATCCCTTCCACTCCCGGCTCACAAACAAACGACCATCGTGTTTGGTGGCTAGCCGCTCGATTGTTTTCATTCTCAGGGTGCTGCTGGTGCTGCTCTCTTTCGCACTAAGCTGCAACTGCATCGCTTTGGAAACGCTGCCGACAGTAGTGCCTTCGTGTTGCTAGCTGTTCATGCATATGTGACACTTGGGAGGCATCCCAATTGACTAGCTGTGCTGCTTGGCTAGCTGGCTGGGAGCCGGCCACCTTCCACAGCTATCTGTGGACGGTACCAGCGGAAGGCAGGCAGCCCGCTTCTGCTCTGAAGACAACTCACCGCAGCACCAGACAGTGCAGCACCGACCACATGGCAGAAAAGGAAGCTCCGCTGCGCAGGAGCAATAGCACGAGTGAGACAGGGGAAGGCCCCTGTAGCACTCGACTTTTAATGAGGATCAGACAGGCAATGACGACACAACAGTAGCCAGCAGAGTACACCATAAAGAGGAGGCAAGCGTGGCGCTGCTGCTGTTGTTGTTGCAGAGCGGCTGCTGCAAGCTGCAACAGCAAAGGCCCATAAACCACCAAGTCCTCGACTGTTTGATGCCGAAGGGACAAGAGATGCAGCTGAAAGGGTACGTCCAACAGAGAGAGGCAGAGCCTGAGGCAGCAGCAGGTGCATGACGGTCGTTTCTCACCCCGCAGCAGCAACTGCTGCGAGCAGCAGCAACGGCAGCAGAAGCAGCAACCAGCATAGGCGGTGTCTGTTGCACTGCTGCACTTCATAGCGTACCTCAGGTGGAACAAATATGATACCAAGCAGCGGATATGATGGTTGGCCTGAGGGCCACTGCTGCTGCTGTTGCTGTAGCTGCTTTTGCTGTTGCTCCCGGCTCCTTTGTCATTGCTTTTGCTGCAGGGGAGAAGCAGGAACAGAGCGGCCTCTCCGCCCAGCTGCAGCATCAATCTTAATGCTCCATAGAATTTAAAGCCATTGAAATGATACTGCTGGGGCTGCTGCTGCCTGCAACCACCATGCGCTCCGTCCCAGGCCCACCAGAAGGCAGCAGCAGGCAGCAACAAACTGAACAAACCCCACAGAAGCAGCGCCGGCTTGCTGCAGCTACAAAGACGCTTTCTCTCCATCCAACCGACTCGCCAAGCACAGTACTGCCTGTAGCGCATAGCGAGGCACAATCCCGCAACAGCAGCAGCATTCGCCGAAGAAGCAGCAATCTTGTCTACGCATTCCCCAAGGGCACCTAGTGCTGTACAGTTGCTCATTTCAACTCCCCGTAGCGCCAGTAATGGAGCAAACACAACAGCAGCAACTGCAACAGCAACTGCTCACTCCTCAATGGCAGCATCAGCGAAGCCCAGTGTCAGGCGCTGCAGCGGCATAGGAGGAGGGATGCTGCGGCGCGTTACCTGCACCAACAAGCCAGCAGCAGCAAGGACAGCCACCGCGTGCTGGAGCCTCAGGAAGAGAGCAGTAGCTGTCGCTTTGCAGCAGAGACGAAGCTGTAAGAGGCTCCACTGGCTGGTTCTCCCCGAGTCCGTGTCTGTCAAACGTATGCAACGCTCCTCTGGGGTTGTTGCCGCTGCTCCGGTGGTGGCTCCTCCTGGTGCTGCTACTGCTTGGCTTGCCCTGACAACCCCATCCAAAAAAGGAGTTCTGACCCTTAGCTGTCTTAGTTGTCTCGCCACCTGACCAGCTGCCTCGCTCTGTTTTCCTGCAGCTTCTGCTGCTACTGTTGCCGCTGTTGCTGCTGATGCTGCTGCAGGTGTCGCCACTGTAGTTGCTTCTGCAGAAGCTAGAGTTGCTGGTGTGCGGGTTCCAATCCACATCCCTGCCCGTCGGCTACTGGGTGAATCGCAGCTGCTGCTGTCACTGCTGCAAGGGTTGCTGCGGTGAGCTTGGCTGTCAGCTAGGACTTGTTGTGTGGCGCTTGCGCATACTCCCTGCTGCTGCGGCTGCAGTCCTAAAGGTTTAGGATCTTGCTGCTGCTGCACCTGCCGGGCACATGGGGCAGCAGCAGCAACTGCTGCAGCGAGGGGCCCAGGCTGCGGCCCTTGCTGATCCCTCCTCAGAAGTTCCCTTGTTAGGACAAAGGCGACAGCTTCCAGCTGCCGTTCCTCTTTCGTCGGAGGCCTCAGCAGCCTCTCGCTGTGAATCCACCGCAGAGGCCCTTTCCAAATGTTTCCGTAAAAGCATAATATTCCCCTTGCTTCTTGTTGCCAGTGCTGCATCTGCTGCTGTGTTTGGGCAAACGGCACACGCTGGTCTACATGAACAGTTACTAAACTATCATTTTTTGCCACTTCTTTCCAACATCCTGCGACTCCTGCTGCAATTGATCGCGAAGCACTTGCTGTCTCTGCTGCAGCTGATGCTGCGTTGCAGATAATTTGCTGCAGCAGATGCTGCGGCAAAGCTGACCCTCCCCCTTTTTGCTGCTTCCGCCACTGCTGCAAACGCCTGCAGCAATCGCACTAACAAACAAGCAACGGCTGGGCCGAAGGACAGCAGGAGGAGCCTTCCCGCAGTAGAATCAGCAGTTGCAAATGCTGCATAAGAAGGAGTACCATATACGCGAGGGAACGAGCTAGATGCAGACCCTGGCCGGAAGCACACGGGAATGAAATGCAATCAAACAGCTGCAGAATCGGGCAGATTATGCAGCAATACGCGCTTGCTGGACCATGGAGTATATGACTGAAGGGAAAATAATGGAGATGAGAGGCACAAGCACAAAAGCCCAGTGCAGAAACTTCTTACGCTGCAGCTTCAAGGGCGCCGATAGCCCTCACTGCCGACAGGGCAGCTGACGCGTCATCTTGCCTCTTAGGCAGTGGTGGTGCCTCCCCTTGCTGCAGCAACGGCAGCAGCGGCTGCTGCTGCAGCTCTTTGAGCTGCTGGAGCCGCTGTTTGTGCGGGGGTGAAGGCTGCTCCACATCTCCTGGCTCCACTTGCTCGTGCTGATGCTTGCAGTTCCCGCCAGCAGCTTCATCCCCAGCAGAAGCATCAGCAGCAGCAGATGTGGAGGCCCCTGCTGCAGCAGTTGCAGAAGCCGGAGCTGAGACAGCAGGCGCAGACAGAGCATCGTGCTGGGTGGCACCCTTTGCACTGTGACAAAAGCGCCAGCAGCACTCCCAGCAAACGTCGAGGGATTCCACAAAAAGGTCGTCTATTTGGTTCTCGGCAAGCCGCTGCCGCAGCCACTGCAGCCTTTGCTGCTGCAGACGCAACTCGGCATTCTTGCTGCTGCTACTCGTGGTAGGAATTGGCGCAGCAGCAGCAGTAGCAGAGGCGCCGCCAGAAACGGAAGCAGCCGCCGGTCCTGGAGAAGCACAAGCTGAAGGAGGAGCAACAGAAGAGCCGGGCAAGTCAGCTGTTGCAAGGCCAGCAGCACTCGAACTGGAAAGGTAGGTACTGCTGCAGCAGCTGCCTCTCCTGCTGTTGCTACCTATCCCCAACGCCCCTGTGGAGAGGTGCGGAGTAGCCAGTGCCGCTCCTGCTGCTACTGCTGCGTGCAGAGAAGCAGAGATCTGGCTGCTACTGCGACACAGGCTGCTGCAGCTACTGCTGGCCCCTCCTAAACGCTGGGACTGGAAAGGCCCCTTGTCTATGGCTGTGGGCGATGGCTTTTGCTGCATTTGTAGAAGGTGCAACAGATACTGCTGCTGCCTCTGCTGTTGTTGCTGCTGTTGTAGGGATCGTTTTGCTGTCCACTTCTTCTTTAGTGTCACTGTTCGGCTGTTGCGGAGGACATCCAACCTCCTCGCTGCTCTCCTAAGGACAGCAGCAGGGCTCCGCAGGTTGGCCACTGTGGCAGCAGCTCCTGCAGCAGAAGCGGCACCACCTGCTATCGTTGCTGGGCACTCAGATTGTCGAGTTGCACTACCTGCTGCTGCTGGTGCTAGAGATAGAACTTCACGGCTTCCCGCGGCCCCACGCTCCACCTGGAGGCCCAGTGTGGGTTTGTAAAAAAGCTCCCGACCAGCGCAATCAGTTGGCTGCACCCCGCTGCTGCTTCTGCTGCTGCTGCACCCTTGGTGAGCGCTCCCACGACGAGGCCTGGCACATGCTGCTACTGCTCCTGTTGAAGAAGGGGCAACAGAGCAGCTGACGTCTGCAGGGGCCAGTCCCAGGCCTCCAAAGCGCCACAACTGGGCTGTCTCAGCAGCAACACCCGCTGCTGCAGCCGCCGCAGCCGCTGCAGCCGCTGCAGCCGCCGTCGCTGCGGCACGCGTAGCTGCCGATCCCTTGGCTAGGGGCATGCCCATCATTGTTGAATCTAAGGGGTGGGGGGGGGTCCCAGCAATGGAATGTTGCTGCCTGTGCAGCTGATGCGACTGATGATGTTGCTGTTGTTGCTGCAGTTGCTGGTATTGTTGCTGCTGCTGGCGTGTGGGAACAGGCGGCGACGGACACAACCTTGGTAGGGACTGTCTTCGAGATGCCGGCATGTGCCGGTGCTGGCCTTTGGCTGTTCGTCTGCTCTCCTCACTGGTTTCTCCTGTTGCCGATGTTGCAGCTGCTTCAGCAGCCCTCTGCAACACCCTGGAGGGAGTCGTGTGCTGTCGTCTGGTGCGAAAGCGTGCCTGGCTGCCCCTGGCATCCTGCAGCATGAGTTGGATTTGCTTCGGCCTCTGCAGCTGGCTCTTTCGCTGATCGGCCTGTTTCTGCTTCTCGTGATCTTGTTGTTGCTGCTGCTCTAGGCGTTTGTGCCGATCAACCTGGTAGTCGTGTTCTTGCTTCATCTGGTGGTGTTCTTGTGGAGGCTGACAGCTATGAAGGGGTGACTGTGGGAGTTTTGCAGCAGCAGCCCTCGAATGCGGAGAAGCCGCTGCTGTGGCACTTGTAGCAGCTCTATATTCGGTTTCTATTGTTTTAGCTTCAGCACCTTCAACGGGGATATGGGGGGATTTACGGGGGCATGGGTCGGTAAAACGCGCCTGTTTGTGTTTCGGCAGCGGCCGCTGCTGCTGTTGCGCGTTCTGTTGCTGCCCCTGGCCCTGCTGGCGCTGCTGCAGTTGCGCGTCACAGAGTTTGTGGCGGTGCTCCTGATGATGCAGCTGTGGATCTTGCTTCAGCTGGTGGCTTTTTAGAGGCATGTCTGCGTTTCCCGGTGAAACAGGTGAGTAGTTACGAGGAAGAGAGCTGTCCGCTGCTGCTTCGCCCCGGAGCCTCGTCTGCTTCTGGTGTAGCTGTTGCTGCAACAGCGTAGGTAGAGAAGCCCTGGTATTTCTTGGGATCTTCTCGTAAGCTGACAAGTTGATCCGCTGTTGCTGTTGCTGCTGCTGCTTAACTGGTTGCTGCTGCTGAGGCTGCTGTTGCTGTATACCTTTAGGAAGGACCAAGGCTCCGGGGCTCCACCGCCAGCTCTTGCCTGAGTTTGTTGCAGGAGCCTCATCGCTTTCTGCAGCTGCAGGAGCCGCTGAGAGGTCTCCAGCGGACGATGCGTCTGCAGCGGCTACAGGTGTTTCTGCTTCTGTTGCAGCAGATGCGCAACCAGAAGTAGGGGCGGAAGCATGGGCAGCAACAGGAGCCGCAGCTGGTACAGCAACCGCAGCAACAGGAACAGAAGTGTGAATGCGCTGTGACTTTAGGACTCTACGCTCGTATACTTCTAGGCCTGGGAGTACCGCGAATGCGGACTGGTACGGCAGCAGCTCGGCAACAAGCAGCGCCACAGCGTCTTGCCATATTCGCGTGCATAGACACCACCCCAGAAAGTTGGCTGCTGCTGCATGCAGGGTGCTCAACGCTTGGTCATCAACACCAGCTCCCCACAGCGCCGCCTGAGCAGCGCAGGTGGCGGCCGCTGCTCCTGCGAGCAGCAGTAGCAGCGAAGGTGAGAGCCCGGCAAAGCAGTAGAGCCCAACGGTAGCAGCCAAATACGGGACACCATAGAGCCTGGCAGGTGTAAGCCCCAGGGAAGGAGGCCCCACTGTAAGGGCAGCAGCAAGAGCCGGAAGCAGCAGCCCCACCAGAAGGCACAAGTCCGCTGCAGGGATCGAATCGCTGTAGGCGTAGGGGCCCGCAAGGGCAAGCAACAAACTGAAGCACAAGGCGCTTCCGAGAGCCACAGCAACAGGCCCCCAAACCGGATTCGGAGCCACCGGGGTGGGGTTATCCACTTGCTGCAGTACCGCAGCAACCAGAAATCCACCATACACCGTCGAGATGAAGGCCGGCAGCAACAGAGCCACGAAGGCGTCTCCTGCGGGAACATGTAGCAGCTGCACCCTCATCTGTGCTGCTAGCTAGTCGGGTAGCTAGCCGGCTAGCTAGCCCATCAGCTAGCCAGTGCAGGAGATGGCTCCACCGGCTCGAGGAAGAGAACGCGCGTCAACCGCGAGAGGACCGCGGGCCGCCGGCAGCGGGTCAAGGGAGATATGGAGTTATGTTGCATGAGCAGATATGAGAAAAAACGACAAAAACAGCAATTTTAGCAGGAAGAAGAGAACAGAGCGTCGCACTGGTAGAAGGAGCGAGTGAGACACCCGGTAGTTCGCGCGCGAATTTACCGAGCAGCGCCAGAAATGTCTCAGCGGTTTCCCGCAGAAGCTTGGGAAGGCAAGATACCTAAACGATAATCTTGGGACAAAAATAAGAAATGGAGCTGTCACCGAGCAAAAACAGAGCCAAACGAACGCAATGAACGCCAGCGGTCAGCCGACGAAGGCGGTCGTGCACCCCCAAGGGAGCGGCAAACGGGGAGACCCTGTGCTCCGCTGTTGCAAATTAATTGGCAGGGAACCCAGATAAATATGGCTATTTCCTCATATTCTGACAGAGAGCAAAGGGCCCAGAAGCGCTGTTTCATCTTTAAAGGAGTAGCTTGTGGCCACCTGAAGCTCGGGGCCCCCAGCGAGGGTATCGAGCGCCCCCCCCCCAGAAGGGCCCGCAGAGCGTAGCCCCTTTATTGTGGCTTTCTTCGAAGCCCGTGTGATCGATATATCTCTTTTCAAAGGAACGTACAACTGATTCGAGAAACGGCCTGTGTGTCGCCGGGGGGCTATGTCGCCCAGACTGCACACAATATAAGCTCTCCTCTACAGAAAGGTGGGGGTGATGTCCTGTCTCTTTGAAACAGGATCTTCAATGAGCATCTCCACTTGTAGACCATGTATGTGGGTCCCTTAATGCCCGACTATTTTCAGCCACAGACCACTATAGTGATGATTGACACTGGCACGCCTAGAACAGTGTGTGTTCCATTACCCGTGCCACGGTGGAAAATCTCTGATGTGGCCGCATGAACCCCTATCTTTTCCTAGTAGACAAACGTTGCGAAAGGAAAGGTCTTCAATAACTCTCTGTACGGTTTATGCATACAGTCACCTCTTTGTAAGCGGCGCTATCTTGCACCGTGGGTTGCTGCAGGCTGCTTTGCAACTCATGGCAGGCTACCTCTACTCCCGCAGCTCCTGGTGCTATACCCGCTGTAATTAGGACGCCTGAAAACTCGAGAGGGAGTTCCGTTGCATTTAAGGAACTCTGGGGAAAGGCTTGACGTCGCACGGATGATCGATTACCTGCGCATCATGGATAGTGTGAAAAAAAAAGAAAAGTGTATGCTGCCCATGCAGAAAAGGAAGGGGGTGGGTTTGGAAGCCTTCCACACATTGAGCCGATGGATATTCGGACGGTGGCTGACTCGGGCTTCGATCCAATGTAACGGTAACCCACAAATATTGAAAAGGAAATGCAGCCTTAAGCACACTAACTGCTATGAAAAGAAAACTCCAAGCACCAAAGAGTGCATTGGAGAAAACCGGGCTTGGCGAAGGAAAAGGACGGCATGCAGCACGATACACGCCCTCAACCAGATCGCCGTGGAAAAGCAATATCTGATGCGCCGGATCGACGACCTGCCCACCCATTTGCTGTGTAAAGTATTACATTCTGCACCTGAGTTCGCTGATGCTTTCTCAGAGGCACAAACCATCCCGATGACACGATTGCGTTGCATACACGCATCTGCAAGCCGGTGCGCGCGTCTATGCCCGTTGTCCCCATGAAGGCACCTGCCGAGCTGCATTGGCGGATCAACCACGACATATTCGGTTCAATCAATAAGGAGTGAATGATTTGATACATCAATGACGTGCTGCTGTTCGGCCGGAAGCGTGGGAGTGCCCACGTCATCTACAACGGTATCCGCAACTGCTTATGAGAGCAGTAGTGGTTTGTGGGTGCACAAAAGTGTTTGCACTTTGCGTTAGCAACGGGTTACTTGCTGTCATGCCTCGTTAGTGAGGGTCGAACAAGATCCGGCGGAGATAGAGGCCACTGAGAGGTGGCCAATTCCCTTGTACACGTGCATAGATGTTCAGGCTTTCGTCAGTCCCTCATTGTAGTCCCACAACTTCATTCCTTGTATCGATAAGATCCTTCCCTGTAATATATTTAAGATAAATAAACAATTCGTTTGGGCAGATGGCGAGGATTCGGATTCCTGTAGCCTGAGTAGACGCCTGAAGCCGTCTCCACAAGGGCGCTGCCTGTTTTCGAGAAGCCTTTCTGTTCGACGTCGGTGACGCAGTAGTTAAATCGCTGGTCTCTGACCAAGCCAAATTAGAAGGCATCACCAGGTCATCGTCTGTCTTGCATATGGCCTCGTGGAACAAGCAGAAATATCGGCAAGCCCGGGATCTACGCGGGCCGTTTGTGAGTAAAAATGTCGTATATGGGAAGCAGCTCAGCGGTAAAATAAAGCTTCAATCCCCGTCGTAGTGGGCGAACGGTTTCCCAGAATAAGATAATGCAAGGGGCTGTCGGTGTCTTTGCCGGCTCACGCTGTACGGCTTCGCGGGGAAGTATATCATGAGCATTACCAACGTGGCCGTTGACGCACTCTCCCGGATCCCCAACGGTCAGGAGCTGTGCTCAGCAAGTGCACCTCTGCGTGATTACTCCGGTTTACATTCAAAATTGTGTTCATCCTACTCCTTAGATACTCGTCGCGCTGCAGGTGCCGCTGACGACGGGTGAAGCATTACAACGTCAACAAGGATCTCTTGTAAGACCTAGCCTTTACCCATTATACATTTCAGCAGCACGTAATACAGACATTCTACACAAAATACCAGTCGCTGCTCTAGTAGGCCGTGAAGGGACCGTGTCAAAAGTGAAGCGACTGGCCAACGTGTCCTGTTGTTGGGCAAGGGCGCGCCTTCAGCGGGGAATGCATGTTTTTGTGCGTGTAGTACGGGTGGTAAAAGCAACGGATTTCCCTCAATTATTGGCTCTTGCAGGGCTATGGATTTGGGAACCCATAGCCCTGCAAGAGCCAATAATTGGCCCTGCCCTGCAGTAGGTTCCCAAACGGGTCTGGGCGGGTATATCAAAGGGTTTCATGGTGGACTGATAATCAGTTGGGCTATGCAATAGCATTTACATCGTAGTGGGTGGGCTCACCAAGTATATCCAGCTCATCCCGTGTCTAGTGTGGTTACACCACAGGGACTTGTCCAAATATTCATTTGTCGTGTCTTGAAGATTCATTGTTTCAGCACGCACAAGCGTCCGGAGTTTGTTAGCACCTTCTGGCATGAAGCGAGTAACGTCGACCATAACATGACTACTGCACACCATCTAACGGCATACAGTCAAACCGAACGCGGCAAACAGTTTGTTCAGTTTTACGGATTCTGTACCCATATCCCTGGTCTGCATCTAGAGACCGTTGGCATACCCGCCGCTAGATCTGGCTGTCAGGGGCCAGCCGCGTATGTCCGCAGCCTAATGCTTCCACACGCAGCTAGCAAGAGGCTAATGCAGGTGAAAAGCAAACAAGTGCCTGACTAGCAACTACAAACAATGGCCTTCAGCACTTCTTTCCGACCCAGACGACATGACTTTGGTGCTTTCGACGCTCTCCGAGTCCCGCAGGATGGCGAGCACCCCGGAATGTCTGATGTTCATTCGTGAGTCAATTCGTGGCGCTTCATCGCGGACTCACCTTGATATGTTCGTATATTTTTTCATTAGGTTCAGGGAGTCACAGAAGTACCCGCGACCTTTACTTGCACAGAGTCATCAATGTCTTGGGAGCCTGCTTGAGTGTATGTACAAACAATGTAGTAAGTTGTTGCGAACTTTTACTTGCGCACCGTGTGTCTACTGGGTAAAGGTTTATGCGCCTACTGCAGACAATTTGGCCGAGATCGCACAGACAATGCAACAGCATGATCTCTTGCAGCTCCAGGCGCTTGGGCCGCGGACTTCGAGATGCCTTAAGACTGGGAAAGGAGATAAGCTTCTTTTTGGGAACTCTGAAGTTAATCATTTCTTGTCCGCTCCAACTCGCAGTAATCCGTGGTTTTTCCAGGGACCGCATTCAACCATCGTTATTGCTTCATGGGTCCTCGACAAATACACTTTGGGGGAAGGAATAATTCAAGTAATGTAAGGCCTTTATGCACGAAGAAGGAACTAGATCGTGGTAGATGTAAGATTTAGTGAGCCTGGTCACCGGGTTCTTCAAGGCAAGCCTATCTAAGAAGCAGCAGCCCGACTGAACCCTTCTCTCCAAGTACAACTTTGAAAAGCGAAAAACCGGCTGTAGGTATCCTCAGATAATATCCAAAGAACAAAGATCACCGCGGGATGTGGGATCTTCACTCGTGGAGCAACCCGTTTAGGTTCCGATCGTCTGTGAACCGCGAGGGATCGGTGCAACCACGTCTCACACGGCGTCTCACGCTGGAAGTCGAGCACTTCCTCTGTTTCTACCCAGGAAAAATGTGATTAAATATGTTCTAAGTATGCATATAATATTGTAGAGACCATTTTCACTTCCCCCGTGCCTTCTGATAGTGATCTGCCGAGCACCCCTCCCTCCCCCCCCCCGCTCCTCGGGCCCAAAGCACGGTCACAGGATGAATATTGTGGGGCCTGGTGAACCTGCATAGCTTTTGCGGCTTTCACATCACTGCATTAAGATAACAATATACGCTAACTTCATTGGATATTTTCTGGGCCTTAAGCAGCTTCGGAATTTTACCACTTTGCGGGAGCTGCGCAACACAGCATTCACCTGCCCTAGACACTCTCGAGTTTGAGTGCGTCTAGCGCCTCCTCTCAATTAAAGACAAATTTCATACGAGTGACTGCTTTTGGATTCACGAAACCAATATTTGCTCCATCTATTCCCCTGGAAGCACTGATATTTCAAGTTCGTGAATATCATGCTGTCGCCGAGTCCCTTGCTGTCTCTAGTCGCATTTGTGATGACACCTACAGGCCAACAGAGGGACAATTCCAATGCATAATAGGCTTTTATTCTAATAACCTGACGCTGTTCCGTTCAGCCACAAAGGCGCGCGTTCACCTGCGATTTAAATTCCCTTTGGAAATTTTGGACCAGGCATTTCTGAATAGCTCCTCCCTAGAGCGGCCCAAAGCATCAATCTTCCTAGGAATCATCTTAGTGCATGCCGTGGCTGGGGGATGAATGCACTCACTGATGTACACAGACTTCCGAAGTAGAAATTGTTGAAATCCAGAAGATGGCGGTTCCCGAAAACCGGAATATTAAATGGACGGTAGAGAACAGCGACCCTTCCATAAGGAAGAAAAGCGCTTTCTTTGGAGGTGGAGACTCTGCGGCCTCCTCTCACGTAGGCGCTGTTCCGAATGGCAAGCTCAGCAGGCAACCCAATGCGAAGCCCACGCGTGCTCGGTGGGCTGCTCTGGCAGCAGCATTGTCTATGACTGCGGTAGCATTCCTGGTGCTACGATGCTTCAATGGGTTGCATATTCAACAGCCTGACGCGTCCACAAGGTGGCTCGCAGAAACCTCGTTATCATCCGGGCCTTTGGATGCATGCCGAACAACGGTGAGCGCTGGACAATATACTCTGAAGGCTTGTAAATTGACAGCAAGACCTTCACGCGCCATACTCGTAGTTTGGGTTCGAGTTCTAGCTATGTGGGCCAAACGATGCCGCAATGCTGGAATTTTGTGCTACTAATAAGGGCTGAGTCCTGAAAAGTGTTGCTAGCACTCCTGCTTGGTTCATTATGTTTTCGTAGGACACAACACTTGCACGTCGTGCAATTTCGAGAGTCGGACAGTGGTTAACCTCATGCACGGGTAAGTTGACAAGAACACCTCAGTGGATGAATGTACACTTGACTCCCCTGCAAAACCGAGGAACTTGGCAATTGCCGTTATCGCCAATATTTGAGGGGAATCATACCAAGCTATACCTAGGGTTTCTTCCAGGGCACTACAACAAAGCAATGTGTGGAATTCTCCTGGGAAGGGCGCGCTCGTTTCTTTTCAGAAGAAGTTTTGGGTTTCAAGGTTGGACCCGTCGTAGTGTCGTCGAAGGTTCAAGCACCGGACAAAGCTCCGCGGGATGTAAGTAGGAAATAGGTGTCCAATGTAGGTGGCGCTTCACTTGCGGTTTTTGCGCAATTGAGTTCCGTGCGCCTGCCCACCTGCTGGTGCGTTTTCACCTTCAGGATGTGGAAACACTCCGTAAAGTGAGTTTGTTGGCCCAATACGCGCTGCAATCCTCTAGGCTGGACCGAGTCATTTTCAGCTTGTAGTGCGCAGGTGCTGATCGACAGTACCATCTAATTCTTACGAAGAAGAGTGTGCTCTTTAGGAACTTGCATCTAGACTTGAAACGACAGTCGAATATTTGGCTAAGGAAATCCCTCATTTGAAGCATGGGTCGTCTGTGAGTAAGTCATTCAAGCCACTTTGTGCCATTAGCAGAAGACGTGTGTTTTGTAGTGGGTGCTTCTCCCGGAACTGCATCTTATATTATCGTATAGAACCCTGCACTAAGATCAAACCAACACTTCATTTCTTCGTGTTTCGTGGATGAGTGGAATGTCTCTCCTTTTACAGAAATGAAGCGAATTGCCACTAGTGCAGACGGCCGTTTGACGGCTACGGTTTTGGTCGAAGTCCGCCTGGCGGAACCAAGAGAGGTGGGGCTTGCACCATCAGCCATTTGGGCGCCGTGAGTAAATATAAGCGCAGCAAGGGGAGCTTCAATGCTGGCTGAAGCATTTTACTCTTCTCGAACCTTCACTTCTCCACTTTATTGCTCGGTGCCACCTTTTGGACTGCTGCGCTTAGCTCGAACTCGGCCCTCTGGAGGTCAGGGAGTGGGCAGAGCACTTTTTAAAGCACACTAAAGGTATGCGTAGGTGATTGGGGTCGCGAAGGGGCTGCCTGGAAAAGATGCGACATGAGCAGCAAAATTAAAGTAAAGCACTGTTACGATCGTGCAGTGGTGCATTTCGCCCATTCCCGTCATCGGTCGTAGCTCTCAAAACAGGGATCAAAACGCCTACCACGTTTTACAGTGATTAGTTGCGTAGGAAAGGCGTTCCTCGGCCAGGTGGGAACAACAGCGTGCGTTGCCATAGTGTATTTTACTTGCGTCGTGCAGATAAGCAGGCAAAACTTCTTATGGGCTCATGGGTAATCAAAATCAAGTACAGCGAACGGGTGAGTATGCATGGTGTACACAGCAGATGTGGCTTCGCAATTGTGTCCACGCACTGGTGGTAAGCCGCTCCTCTGCTTGTCAATTGTTGTTTTGCAGGGAGGATCCCGATGGAAAATTTCACATGCAGATCCAATGCTGCGGGAGGTGTGTTGGGAGTAAAGGGAAACAGCGACTGGACAGCGATGCTTTTGCGCCGACTCCCACGTAGTCGGCCAATGCTACGTATGCATTATGGCGCTGTTTGTTTCTTTGTAGGCGGTAGCTCAGAGAGTGGAGTCGTGTTGGAGTGCTGCAGAAACATGGATGTTTCTGTCAACCGATGACGGCCGCGAATCAGGTCCGACGCATGAGCCGTAAATCGTTGCCCGACAGTCACCTGAAGTATCATGATAACGTTGCTGAAGGCGTGTCTGTATGTTTGCCTTGTGTTTCTGGCCCTCCGCGTTTTGACATGCTTGAGAACGCAGGTTGGAGGGTAATGGTCACAAGAGGCAAAAAACAAGCCACTTTCACTTTAAAAATGTGGGGGGCCTCTTGGTGGGAGGTGTGTTCCCAACGCCAGATCACTTGTCGTGTTGTATTCCTGCATCTTCTGGACGCTTTGCACAGCATAGGTGCACAACCTGCTGCCGCAGCATTCCAGGGGCTCATACGGCGCATGTACATGTGGTATCTGCTGTGGATAGCGTATGAGGCTTGAACGAAACTCCGGCTCCACCACTTCTGGCAGAACGAGGTCGTCCGCGGGAGCAACTGCGAAGCTTGATAGCGGCAATAAAGGTACACCAGTTGCGTAGCCACGGTCGGAGTTTATCGTGGTTGGAGGATATGCATCGCAGGAGCCACGTTTCGATACTTTCCAGATGACAGTTTTTGTGTAATGTTCAGGCGTTGAAGATGATAGTCATTCACTCGAGGAGCCATCCCATGGAGTTCAAGCCACGCAGAGTGAGCATTATCCTGCATGCATATATATATATATA